GAGAGAGGGAGAGAGAGCGAGGGGACAAGCTGTAGAGATGATAAGGGGAGGTGGAGAGAGAAATGGAGAGAATACACCGTGTGAGAGAAAAAAAAGAGAGAGAAAATGGGAGAGTACTAATGATCTGATGGTCTGCAGTCTTTTCTCCCCATTTTGTGGAGCTCAGCAAATACTCGTTCTGCTTCTGCCCCCCACCCCCCTTCTCTCTCTCNNAACTGGTGGTGGAGGGACTATCCTGGAAAGGAAGAGAGAGAGAGGGGGAATGGGCGGTGGGCGTGAAACACTCTATCATATCCCTCCTGCTCCGCTCTAATTGAGCCAAGTGTTTTAGTAGATTGAAAGACAGTGTGGAGGAAGGGAGTGATGCAGCAGAGAGAGAGAGAGAGAGAGAGAGAGAGAGGGCAGACGAGAGCTTTGGTAAAGGAGACTCATTTTTATGCAGGACACTAAACCAAATCTTAAATAGCATGTTGAGGGACTGGCTCTGAGAGTATATCAATACTTTTGAGATCTGTTATTTTACATGTATGTTTACTTGATATACTGTATGTGATGGATGTTTGTTTTATCACATGGAACATTAAAAAACTGCTGACACATGATCACATCAATAATTTAACCGTCAGAAAGGAACCGTTTTACTGAATGAGCAGCATTAAGTACATTTTAATGTTCATATGTATTGACTCAGGTAAAATGTATGCATCCATTTTCTGTACCTACTCACAGTGCTTGATTGGTTGCTCCAGTTTATCATAATGCCATTAGTTCGACTGTTAGTAGTTCATATTAACCACTGGCTAGTTTCTGATTTACTAAATATGGATTTCACCATAAAAAACCTAAGAAATAATTTCTTTAGTAGACTTTAATAATGTGTTAATTGGTAGGCAGGAAACATCTATAGCGCTGTCCAATGAAGAGCAATCAGTTATGTAATCAGGAAGTCATTGTAGCATTACAAGCTAGCATAACTTCCAGAAATGACAGTTTTAGAGGTGCAAAAGATTTAAATGTAAATATAAATGTGCTTAGTATGTTTGCATACATGGAAAAATGTTAGTAGTATTCATACAGTGTATAATAAGGGGGAAATATCCAATTATGCTTAGCTAATTTGCATTATGTGCTCATGTAATCTAATTATTAGCATAATGTTTTATCATTTGAGGTATGTTGTGTTGTTTGTGGAAAGTGTAAATTAAAATGTTCAATATTTACATGATATTTAAACAATATTTATCAAGATTTGTTGACCATATTGCATAAGTGTATGTGAAAGATTCCCGGATGTATACTAGATTACTAAGAATATCTGAGTATACACTGTGAGCTTGTGTCTATCTGACTGTTCCTCTCTCCCCTTTTTTTACGTTAATTGTTCTAATAATAATACTGAAAAATATTACATTGAGTGTAAGAGGAACTGCTGATTTACATTTGTGATAAATTATTTTCATTCAACAGTAGCTCGAACCGTAAAGTTGTGATCGGTCTGGAGTAGTCAGACCGATCTCCACAACGCTGTGTCAGTGCTCGTTGTAATCGACAGCCATGTGATACAGAGGAGATATATGATTGAATATACTCCAGTGTGAACAGTCGGCATACTTTATCGTTCATTTGCAGTATGTAGTACATACTGACTGAGTATGTAGAAGGCAGTACGTTAATATGTGATTTTGAACACACACTAGAAATTTTAAAATTAAAGGTTATATATAGTAAGTTCACTTGCCATTAGAGCATCAGAATAGAGAATGAGAAAGCAGATTGATCAATAATTTAAATAATCTTTAGTTACAGCCCTAGTCCAGGCAGCAGTAATCACACTGATGACTGCAGTACTTTGAGAAAGGTTTATTGACTATGACACTTTTAATTATCTATTTATTTGTGTGACATCAGAATGTAAGCCATTTCGTCCAATAAAAATTAATTCTCGAAGGGTAAGGAGTAAATCTTTACAGCTCAGCCAGAGTAGAATTGAGCTTGATATATTGTTTAACGACACCTGAAACCCAAATCACCATGCCTTTTGTAACTTTAAAAAATGGACAATTGGACAATCGGGGCTTCTTTAAACACTGACTGCCCAGGTGTGTGGCGGTTTGAATTTCTCTCTCAGCTCTCTTTTTTTATTCCTCACTACTACTTCCATTCCAAATATGTGTTTCTCCGATGCTGTTCAGCAGACAAAGGACATCCCAGAGGACATGCCAGTCAAGCTGCTGCTAACATTAGCTCAGCTTGTTTTTCTGATAACTTAAGATCCAGATGTCAGGTGAAAAAATCCTTCATCTGGTTAGAATATATAGTTAAAATTGACCAAGATCTGTAGGCTATGGTAAAATTTTGGCATAAAATTGGATAAAAATCTCATCTCATGATGCATGCACAAAGTGCAACAAACGATCGGTGAAACACACAGTTACCTGAATAAAATGACTGGGTTTGAACGTTTTTGGAGAATTTGGGATAATGCAAGTACACAACTCAAAATGTAGTTTATAGACATTTTAATACAGAAATGTTACATATTATAACCATAAAGTCCAGGCGAAATTTTAAATGTAATGTAATTAGTTAGCTAGCTAGCAACAGCGTGGCTTTCTGCCGGAGTGGAGTGTTTTCTGGGGTCCTCACTGATTACTGTACAAAAAGAGATATCATTGTTCATGTTATCATTTATACAAAAGAACAATTTTATTAGTGATTTGGGAGAAAGTGGATCATATTTTATGTAGAAAATATTGTCTGGTTTTCCCTCTGACATCCTCCGGCTGCTCTGCCTCTAATCGGCTAACTGCTGCTGCAACTGAACGGGGCTCAGCAGCCGAACACAACCTCTGAGACAGACAGAGGACAGTTTGATGACAGCAGTACATTGGTTTTGATTTACTGAGTTTCCAGATGGACTTGCTAAAAGAAAATAACTGTCGGCAACAGTTATGTCAGATGCCATTCGCTAGTTAGGTCGTGCAGCTAACGTTTAGGTTAGCTCCTGGAGTGGCAGCAGCCAAAACCAGCTTAAAACACTTCTGTACTTTATTCCCTGTCGTCAAACTGTCCTCCGTTGGCATCGGATGCTGTATTTGGTCACTGAGAGCTCCCAGTCCCGGTAGAGTCAGCTATAGATGCTTGACAGGGGAACATAACACAGAGCACTATTGGCTTGGTCTGTTCACATTCTTGAATCTGTGCCTGGTTGTCATTGTTTTTTCATGATTCAATCTTAAAGCTCCAGCATTCAGTCATATTTTGGACAATAATGTTCTTCTAATTTATTGTCTAAAGCAGTGGTTCCCAATCTTTTTCCTTAAGGGACATTGAGTAAACTGACGACTCCGACTAAGTGATATATTTTATGGATGTTTCATATTAGAATATTTTATATTATACTCAATACTGAATGCAAGTAGTGAACACAACAACTGCAGCATGTTTGTGTAAAATGAGCAATTAAATGAATTTTGCGCTTTTTTATTATTATTTCCAAAATGAAATTCTGAGACATGGGCGTATCTATTTCAAAGTTGTCTTCCACCCCTTAAAGTCAAGAAGGTCTTGGAACCCCCGTGAAGGTTTGGCGAGGCCAGCTCCATAAAGAAATGTTAACACTGAGCCATGACCTCACCCCCATCCAACACCTTTGGGATGAACTGGAACAGCGGCTGTGAGCCAGACCTCATCACCCAACATCAGGGCTGGACCTCACTGATGGTCCAGGTCCCTGCAGCCAGGTTCAACTGGTAGAAACCTGAAAGCAGAAGAGTGGAGGTTTAACAATGACTGTGACGTTCGGGTGTTCGAGCATTTGCAGTAAAAAACAGAACCATCTTGCTTCTGTCTCTCTCAGTTCAATAAATCTCATTTCTTTGCAGCTCAATCCAAGGATGCAGCAAATCCGACTGTGGCAGAGCCAGCAGAGCACAATGTGAATATATTTGCTAAGCAGCAGTTTTAACCTTACTAACATCAAATGATCCCATAATATGAATTCGATCAGTCAGTCAATCAGGCAGTCAGTCATTCAGCGGGCAAATCTATTGATTCATAAAATCCGCATCCCACATAGGCTATCCTCTCTCTCTCCCTGTCTTACACACAGTTGCAGACACACACTCCCTCCCTCCCTCCCTCCCTCCTTCCCTCTCTCTCTCCCTCTCTCACTCACTCACACACACATATACGCAAACTCCTCCTTCCTCTCCTCCTCTCTCCTCCTCTCAGTTGCCCCTCTGACTCCTTGCCGGGACGGTATAACAGAAGCTTACAGAGCGGAGACAGGCGGTGGATGGGGAAGGGCAGTCGCCGCAGCAGCAGCAGCAGCAGCAGTCGGGCGCATCGACCGAAGCATGCTCCAGCGCAGCCATGACTTGCTCGGCGTCAGATAGCGAGAAGATCGTGATCAACTGCGGCGGGATCCGACACGAGACTTACCGGAGCACCCTGAAGACGCTGCCGGGGACGCGCTTGTCTTGGCTGACCGAGCCCGACGCCTACAGCAACTTCGACTACGACCCCAAGTCCGACGAGTTCTTCTTCGACCGCCACCCGGCCACCTTCGCATTCATCCTCAACTACTACCGCACCGGCAAGCTCCACTGCCCCAACGATGTGTGCGGGCCGCTCTTCGAAGAGGAGCTCGCCTTCTGGGGCATCGACGAGACGGACGTGGAGGCGTGCTGCTGGATGAACTACCGGCAGCACCGTGACGCCGAGGAAGCCCTGGACAGCTTCGAGACCCCCGAGCCGGACGCGCCCGAGGATGACCCGGCGCTCACCGGCGGGGCGGACGGCGACCTGAAACGGCTGTGCATGCAGGAGGACGGCCGCAGGGCGACGTGGTGGTCGGTGTGGCAGCCCAATATGTGGGCGCTATTCGAGGACCCCTACTCCTCCAAATACGCCCGGGTGAGTGACCGGACAGGTGTCTATTGTATTCCTCTGGCGCGCGCTCGCATACCCACGTTTGGCACAGTTTAGGCCATTGCGCATTGTTGCGCGTAAAGTTGTGAGGATGTCAAATTCACTGTCGTGTTTTTTTTTATCAAATAGATAGATAGATAGATAGATAGATAGATAGATAGATACAGATGCAAATGCGCCAGTATGTTCCTTTCTTCCACCGCTCTTTTCTTTCTCTTTTCTTTCTGTGCTTTATATTCTGCTCATCACTTCGCTCCGTTCCTCTCCTCCACCTAACTGCCCTGCTGCAGTTCTTTTCCTTCAATCTCTCTCGTTGATATCATTGTATAAAGATTTAATCACTGCTGATTTGTCTGTGCGCATCAGTCCATCCTCCTCTCTCACTCTCTCTCTCTCTTCAGTGTCTGCCTGTGCGCCAAATGATTTCCACAGCAAAAAGCTGAACCGTTTTAATGCGGTTTAATTAGGAATGACTCTAATTTGGGATCCAGTTCTCTCCACTATCAGTCTGCATTTGGTGTAAATTGTTGTACAGTCCAATAATCAATCATCACAGTAACTGAAAGTGAAAATCCAAAGGTTGGCGGTAGTCCTGCCTCCATTCATCTACTCTCTCTCTCTCTTTTATCTGTTATGTTATGATGACACTAAACTAAAACCCTGTGAGCAGCAGCCACCGCTCATTTCAGCCCATAGGTTGCTGGCTTTGTGCATGTTTGCACACAAATGCATTACTGTTTACTCATGAGTGTGCTAGCAGGTGATGGTGAATGCATTTGTATTTGAGTGTGTGTGTGTGTTTGGGTAGATGATGGAGCAAACACTGTTCATCCATCAGAACTGGCTGATATTAGTTTGTTTGCTTTTTGTTCAGACTGGAGCACAAATGAATCAAATATCGTTGTTAGCTTTTAAATATCACAGCTGGTTGAATGCTCTGCACTGCTTTACAGCACAGAGGTGAATTCTTAATGGCTTAAGTGTGCGGTTGTCTCAGCACATAGAGCATGTAGCAGGAACCCGATGGCAACATGAGGAATTGTTTTTGGGGAATATCTTGGAAGGATCCAGTGTAAAACAGCCCAGAACACCGAGCAATTGTGTTCTTATTAGACGATTCTTAGACGAGTCCAGTACAAATTCGGAACATAGCGTACCCTTCTTGTGGCAAATTACACAGTAGGGTGATGAGGTCTCCAGGTTTTATGTGGGAGACTAGAGCACCCTTAAATTCTGTCTGTCTTCTACCAGAATGTTTAAAACATGCGATGTGGAGTGTGGGGGGTGAGGTGTGCTTGTCAAACCTTAACAGGGGTTCAGGGGTGTTGTACAGAGAGGGCAAGGGGCAGGAGACAGATTGACACACTGAGCACCAGCAACAACTCTTCTACAAAGGAGTTCCTTTCCCCTGTGACGATAATGAGCCAGAAGATCACGGAGGTCCTTACCAGTTTGGCCAAATCTGCGCCTCCTGGACCTGGCTGCTGTTAGCTTGTGTTGGTGAGAGAGTAATTACGTACTTGAGGCCATTTTCATTCTCCACTTTCAGAATTATTTTGGTACCAGCTACCAACAGGCTGAACAAACCAAATATACCTCAGAGTCCTGGCTGTATTGCCACAGAACTCATTTTAATTTACCTTCCAACTCCAAGGAGATGCATACAAGTTAGTTCTGAGCAGCATAACAAAGTGTATAGTTGGAGATAATCACCTATATTAATCACTGCTGCTCAAAGAATTGATACGATCAATCCAAACGAAGGAAAGGAAGATTTCTACGATGCTTAGCTTTAATCCCTTTCTATATCCAGTCACTAATTTCCTCTCTTTGTCTTTTATTTTCCCTCTTGCCCCATTTCTCTCATCTCTACCTGAAAACTCAATTGTTCTCTCTTCTCCCCTCCTCAGTTTCATCCCTTTCTCTCTGCATGGTCAGTCCTCCACCTCTCACCCGTGTCTCCCCCTGCCTTCCTTTTTGCTTAATTGTCTCTAAAAATCTATGGCCATTTGCAGAGCCAGAGGCTAGTGCTGACCTGGATCATTGTGAGCTGAGGTGTATTTTCTGTAGACTCTGCCATACGCACAGAGACAGCATATTGACTTAGGATGGAGGCACACAATCGGAGACACACTTACTACACACACACACACACACACACACACACACACACAATGTTTAGAGCTTTTAGCTTTTGCAGGCAGTCTGTGGGACGATTTACAATAAATATCTGTATATCTTTATTTTCTGTTTGGTTGTTTTCCTTATTAGAATGATCATTATTAGCTAAGGCTGATTATTTTCATTATCGATTAATCTGTCAGTCATTTTCTCAATAAATCCATTTTCTTTTGTTTGGCCCATAAAATGTCAGAAAATGAAAAGGTGAAGTCCTCAGAGACATTCAGTTTACTGTCATAAAGGACTAAAGAAACCAGGTACTTTGACTATTATCATTGCAGCTCTATTATTGGATTGCAAAACACACTGAATGAATGTGTGTCTACATTCATTCCTCAAGACACTGGCACACAACGTCCACAGAGCCCAGATAATCTACCTAAAGTACATTTTGTCATTTGCCTAAAACTGGAATTCTTATTCTCCAAAGACACACACAAACGTCCGAGCAAATCTATGTGGAGAAGGGCTTTATGGGTAACCATGGTCTTTCCCTAAACTTAACCACACTGTAGTTGCCATAGACAGTATTGTATTGTAGAAATCAAGAGGATTGTGTAGGGTTGTCCTCCCCTGGGACAGACGACTAAAATACGCAGCTGAAATCCATCTGTGGATGTCCATGGGACGCAGCTACACTAGCTGCCCTGTAGCTCTATCAGGTTCCCAGGTGCACTGTGAGTATTTGTCAAATAGCAGCCTGTACCTTCTGCTTTATAAATGGCTCCAAAATAGATCCCTCTCCATAGTGCCTGCATATTTATAAGCACTGGTGTGTATATGCAAGAATCTGGTGATGCGATACGAATCATGATACAGTTACGATTCGATATATTGCTGTATAAATAACACACCACCATTATGCATCAAAAAAGTTGACCTTTTCATACTACTAGAATTTTTAACATCCAACCTCATAGCCCTGAGTTTGGGGTTTAAACACAAAAGTTGATACAGTGTGTTTGAGAATCAATACAATTTCCCAAACATATGGCGATACTAAAGTGTATCGATATTTTCCTACACTCCTATGTAAAAAACAATCAATGACCAACTTCTCTACATGTTCACATGTACTTTTCATGTACAAGTGGAGTCACAAATGTGCAGCTGGGGATGTCTGTAGTTGCCAGTTGGCCTTTGAGCCATGTCAGCTCATCACAAGGGATGCAGTACTGTAAGAGGCTGAGAACCACAGTTTTTTTAGCAAAGGATACCAAAGCAATAAGAGAAAGGGACATTCACAGTGAGAGTCTGCTTTGTCGCTGCTCCATCTCGTATTTAGCTTGTTAAGATGCCCCATGCAGCTTTTTCAATCATGAAACTGGACAAGTCAGAAAATTAAATGGCAGCCAAAGAAGAGCCGATCGAAGAACCAAAGGGGGGTGACTGTAAAAAAGAACGCCGGTGTGGTGTCATGGTGGGGGGGTTGGGGAAGCATCGGTATGACAGCTGAGGTGACTTTGAAAGTGTTGCAGTCAATAGTTTCGGTGCCAGCGCGGTGACATGAAGATAGGTTGGAAGGGGTGGAGGGGGGGCAGCGCAGCTACAGCAGCGGCAGTCGCGCTCAGGTGGGCTGAGGTCAGGCAGCCGGCTCGGTTTTAGCTGATTAGCTCGGTGGAGAACGACGAGGGCGAAGCCGCTCGTCCCTGCCAACGTTTCGGCCTAAGAGGACGGAAATGTTCGAAGACAGCGATGTAAAATTAATGACTGGATCACTTGTTCAATTTGTGCGTCTGTCCATTAAGTATGTGCAACATCCTTGCAAAGACAGCAGGGTTTTCCATTTCTCCCTGTCTTTCTTCTTCCTCCTATCCTCTCCTCTCCTCTACAGTCAGAACAGTCCTCTCCCCGTTCTTTTTCTCTCCGTCATCACCACTGACAGCTCGTGCTGCTTTATTACCACGATTTCAGAGCTGAGTGCTGGATTGCTTATTATCGCTATTCAGCCCCCCAGCTCCCGCCACGTCCCCTCCCTCCTCTGCTTTACCCCTCCTCCTCTCGTTCTCTCCAGCTCTCTGCTTGTGCTATAGCGTAACACTGCAGTCCCCGTAGTAGCTGACTGCGCTCTAGTCTGCTGCAGAGAAGGAGGGAGAGAGACACGGAGAGAGGGGAGGGGGATGACAGGACGGGAGGTGTTTTTGGTGAGGGTGGTGGTGAAATGAATTCAGAGTAAGAAGCAGTAGAGGAGGATGAAGAACAGGAAGGGGGTCACTTTCTGTACCCCCTCGTTTTCGTTCCCGCTGCTCTTTTTTTCTTCTCCTCTTTTCTGCTGAGCTCAGCAGGCTGGGACGCTCGTATCCGTTTATTGATCGGGCAGTACGTCTCAGCTCGCCTCATTCAGGTGGACGTCTCAGCTGAATGGTGCTCTTTTGTAAGCAAAACCTTCCCACACACATATTCCTCCTCTCCCCCTCTCCTCTCTCTCTCTCCATTCTTTCACACAGCGGGGTGTGATGGCAATTCCCGTTCCCCAAAGGAGAGAAACAAATACCAGCACAGTGACAACACGCACCCACACTTACACACACTTACTGTACCACCACACACAGAAATTGTGGCACTGTTAATGTCATTTTGACCTCATTTTCAGAGGCTTGGTTGCACAAGTGTGTTATTTGGGTTCATTATTATTAGACTGCAATGTCCTCTAACAGCTGCCATACAGGCAGGCAGAAAAAGAGCTAAGCTCCGTCCCGTTAGCATATTGTTAAATCAATACTGACCGCTGATGTGACTAGTTTTGCGTAATCTGATCAAAGAAAAATTCTAACTCGCTAGACATACATGTAAAAACTGAAAAA